CGCGCGCGCGCGCGCGTGCACACAACACATATACACACGCACACACACACACACACACACACACATATATAGACCGTTTTTCCGTGGCGGTGCGTGGTATGCCTACCACATTGAATTCAAATTCCTGCCACCACTGCTGCAAGGGCATCACAGAAAGATGTGTGCCCTTATACACATCTAGATGTGTATAAGAGACAGGATTGAATGGCAAAATTGAAATATGGGTCAAATTGCGGCCACGATCTAATTTGCAGTTCGCCAAAGGTGCCTTTTGCAAAACGCCTGTTTCGTTGCGCCTTACGTCCCTGTTTTGAGAAGACGGGCCTCGACGCCTAGGCCTGAGGAGCCTTTTGCAGTTCACATGCCCTCACTTTGTTTTGGGGTCCGCTTCCACCCGTGGACCCGTCCAACGCCCCCTAGTACTTCTTTTTGGGGTCCACTTCCACCCGTGGATCGGTCCTTTTTTTTTCCAAAAGTCGTGGTTCTACCAGAGCTAGCTGTAGGTAGTCCGCAATTTTGGCAAGGACCAGTTTCCCAAAATTTTTTGCCCCCTAAGAACCCACTTTGCATCCTGGTCGTCCGCCGTAAGAAATGCGACACCTTGACACAGACGCTGAACCCCAGTAGACCACAGCCTTAGGGCTGCGAACAGGGAGGTTGCGCTAGACGTTTTGCAAGAGGCAACTTTGGAGATTTTTTGTGCTCGGAAGAATCCGCAGAAAAATTTGAAATTTTAAAAATCCATAGATGAGATCGTGTTATTTCGAGGAAAAATATTAGAACATTTTTTAAAAATCATTTAGACCGCGAAATAATCGTCGCGCCGCTTCGACACATTTTCCACTTTTGCCACTCAGCCATGCGTAGGCCAACAGAAAAAGTACTCCAAATTCAGTGAGTTTTCGCGCTCACAAGAATGAGTGAAAAAACCTGAGAATTGGAGTACTCGTAGATTTTGTTGTGATCTTTCTAGGAAAAACGCTAAATAAAAAAAAAAAATCATTTCAACTGTGAAATAGATCACAACTGCAATTTAACCCATATTTCAATTTTCCCATTCAGC